TGGGGGGGGGGGGGGCACGCAGCGCGAGAGTGTAAACATGGGGGAAGAGCGTGAGGCGCGGCAGGTCAGTAACACGGAAGATCAGCAGGGGGTCACAGTCAACCGTCACGATCGTACGTGGGTGGCCCTTGGTTGATCGTTGCATACAAGGTTGACATGGTAGGGTCCCGTGGAATGCCCTCGAGTGCGGCGAGATTGATGTCGTTGCGGGCGATCGATTGAATACACGCGGGTTATGTTACCTATTGCGTGTCGGACGGACGATAATTTGGCGACAATTTTCTATTGGCCAGCATCGAGACCTACGTAGTCGTCAACTATGAAACCGCCAAAAAGGAGATCTCCAAGACCGGGTTAAAACGATCGCGAAACAAATCATCACAAGCTTTCTGATGGATGAACGCAGCGAACACGCGACGCACGCATGAGCTAACGAAATACCTCATTACTCCTGCTGCACCACCCGAGACAGAGTATCGTGGCGAGGGGGCTCAACAGATAGGCCGGAGCATGTGCATCGAACAGCCGATGAGACCGACGACAACACCCTTTCTGAACAACAGCAAGCAAGGAAACACCAGTACGTCCCCATGCTGACACCCAGAGGCAAACATCAAGGTAATCCATTAAACGTGCAGAAATGTTCTTCCAGCCCCTACCGCACAACGGCGTGGCTGTGAGATGCCCGCCCTAGACACGACGACGGCAATCTCCGACTACATTTAGCTCTTCACAGAGCAGCAGCATCTTAACAAAAGGGGTACAACTCACTTTTTCTTGAGGATGAGCGGGTACTATGGTACGTCTAGCTGATGGTGGGCAATATCACGACAAGAATGCAACTCACCCTCCGTGTTGAGGACAACCGGTTGCTTTCGAACGTCTAATAGCTCATCATGTCGCCAAAATGGAGCACAAACTCACTTTTGAATCTTGAGGACAACCGGGTACATGTGCTGTATGTAGTCGAGGTCGCTGAAGATGAAGGTCGACTCTGGGTCGAAGCCGCAGGCGATGATGTCCTTGGCGTTCTCGAACGCCAGCCTATGGCACTGTGTGTGCCCGACAGAGCAGAGACCGATGGCACCCGTGACAGGAAACGCGAATACCAGACGAACAAGAAAACCGTGCTTAGAATCGTTGAAACATATTCTCATTTATTATCACACAACACTACCCGTTCCAGATACGACCACATTCGAAGGGGACGAGATGATATACTGTTCCTCCGGGTTGACATTCAAACGCTGGTACTACGGTTAACAAACTACGGTTAACAGGGTGTTGTGCCTTTCAGAAAATGAAAAGTCACAGAAAGACTACCCGTTCTATTTAGATATAACCACAGCCGAAGGGGACGCGTTGAAGCCTTTACAGTGCGCAAGCAAAGACTCGGGACAACATACAGTCGGGATTGGTTGTAGCGAGCTTCACAGAGCCCATCCATGTTGATTTTTCCCGGAATCCGAAACCGCCACGGCAACCAATACGAAAGTCGAAAAACACCGAGAAATCCTAAGGACAAGTTACACAGCCAAAATCCAGCCGCACTGAATATCCCAAAATCACACGTTTGGGAATCACAAGAACCGTTCACCGGCGAGGAAAGTGTGCTGTACAGACCGTATTCGGGTCGAGACAGCGCCAACGAAAAGTGAAAGGCAAGACAACCTCTTAGTTCTATTTGTCCGTTAGAAATACTGCAGCTTGGATTGGCAAAAATGAAGCGTGTAGTCAAACATTTTCTTCACACAGCAGTGTTTCATCAAATACCCCCGTATACCAGGAAAAACACCTTCGCACTGTCTTCACCCCTTCTCGTACCGCACGAAACGCAGCAACGTGTGCATGGACAATACTCCCTTTCACCCACCTCTTCCAACTTGAGCTCCGGCTTGAAGAGAAACTTCTCGTCGTCTGTGAGTTGCACCACCAACGGCACCTTGAACGCTTCCTGGAAAGTCGACAAAACAAACAAAAGGCCCCCGTTGGGTGGCAGGGGCACAAATGACGAATGACCAGAAAAGCATACGCTTGCAGGCTAGAAGCAGAACAACGCGAGCGGCGTAGTTTCACTGCAAGCAATAGCATCAGAAAACGTGCCGTGGGGGTGCGACTGCTGCTGCTGAAGGATAGAGGCTGTTCTCGTGCACGTGCCTCGAGTTTCTGGCATGGATGCCAAATGAGCATCGCACGTTGGCTTCCTGAGGTGGAAATCCCCCCTGCCAACACAAAAGTGAAAATCGGCACCACGCACCGCCCGCCCCACACGTGAAAAAAAATGAGGACGTGATCGAAATAATATACATTTGAAAAAACCAGACGCTACAGATATTTTCCGACTTCGGTGAAATTGTGCGTTATGTACACTATTGGGCCCGAAGAGATCGAAAACCATTCTCAGGTACCTGTTTGGGATATTCACTTCTCAGGGATGCAGATTCACACATCAGGCACGGGATGTTCCACAATGGTGGTGGGAGGTCCCTCTCTGTCTCCCACATGCCATGCCGGCATGCAAAAAAGGACGTTTCACTTCACTCAAATAACTTCTAAATGCACACTGGGCGATGACGATTGGCCAGCAGAGACCCCGTTCCAAAAGCGTACGTGTCTCACCTGCAAGTACTTGGTGAAGTGAAAGGGGACTAGGTGTCCCAGGTGAAGGGCGTCGGAGGAGGGACCTCTCCCGGTGTAAAGGAAGAACTTCTTGCCGGCCTCGTAAAGATCCAAAATCTGGTTCAGCAGGGAGGGGAGACGACGCATGAAAACAATAGTTAAGCACCCAACCCCCCATGCCCGAAAAATATCATGTACCGGGGCGGTGCACTCGACGGGACGAGTGAATAGGTCAGCGGGCACCGCACCACAACATTCACGGCGAAAAGACATCACCCACTTCGGCGGAGAGCCCGAGGCGCTCGCGCGTGTTGCAGCAGTGGTTCAGCATTGAAACGTTGGACGAAGATCACTTCCGTACGAGCCATGTCCTCCCGTTCCCAAGCAATGTCTGTATTCCAGGTACAGCGGGGTACCGTGACACCACTTTCACTCCACCGTGGACGAGCAGCTGCACCATACGGGGAGATGAGCAGCCACCCGGTGCTCCTGGGGCAGCGACCGAGAACCGTTCTGAAGAACCGTTCTTTAGATCCTAGTGACAGCGCTCAACGCATACCAAAAGAGCTATAGAAGCCGGAATCAAACCGTGAAGGGGTAGCTGGCGAGGGGAGTCACCCCCCTCCGAGTGAAAGTGTCGAGCCGTTCGGACCCCAGCGTAAGAGTACATAGCCGAAACCATGCATTTCATTACACTAGTCAACGCTAACTTCAAGAGTCTGGTGGTGTGATTTCGGCTTCTAGGCTGGTTGTATGTTTGGAGCGCTGCGATTGGTTTGCGATGTTCCTCGGAACGATCCACTCGGGGTCGGTGATCTATGCAACGGATTTCCAGCGGCAAGGAAGGAAGGAGGGCAAACAGTTACGAATAAATCGCCTTAGGAACCCCAAGTCCGCGACCCATTCAGTACTTCCTTTTCTGGAAGATGGTGTTTCCGAAGGGGGATCTCTCTTGGAAGTCGCCTCTTCGGCAGAACGAAAAGGCTTATACTTTATAACGAGGGGTGACTCCCCGATGTCCAACCGCTCCCGACCAATCGCAGAGCACCGCAAGGACAAAAATGACCCGAAAGGCAGATACGTGCCTCTCATGGTTCAGGGATAGTCGCAGGCACCCAAGAGAGACACCTAGGCTTGCTCTTCTAAAGTCGTCACCGCGTGCATCCGATCTACTTCTAAAAGAGGGTAACCCGCAGTACTTCGATTTTGAAGAATGAGTTTCCGCAAGCCAAGCTCTCATGGAGCCGACTCTCGGTAGAACGAAAGTTTAAGAATCATCACACGGGCCCCCCAACTTGGAATGTGACAATATAGCAATACATACTTCATTATTTACGAAACACGCGAATTTCAGACTTTTTACTCGTACGAAATACGCGAATTTCGCAACAGGGGGTTCCGTCAGTACTTCGATTTTGAAGAACGAGTTTCCGCAGGCCGAGCTCTCATGGAGCCGACTCTCGGTAGAACGAAAGTTTTAGAATCATCACACGGGCCCCCCTTCTTAAAATATGAGAATACAGCAATACATACTTTCTCCTTTCGCAACAGGGGATTGATTCCGTCAGTACTTCGATTTTGAAGAACGAGTTTCCGCAGGCCGAGCTCTCACGGAGCCGACTCTCGGTAGAATGAAAGTTTTAGAATCATCACGCGGGCTCCCAAGCTTGCGATAAGATAATGCAGCATTACATACTTGCACTTTCTACTCCTACAAAGTACGCGAATTTCGCAACAGTGGATTCATTTCGTCCGCACTTCGATTTGGAAGAACGAATTTCCGCAGGCCGAGCTCTCGCTGAGCAGACTCTCGGTAGGACCAAAGATATATGTCGTAACACGGGCCCCCATTCTTCGAATATGACAATAAACAGCATTTAATACTTTCTGTACTTGAAGTACGCGAATTTCGCAACAGGGGATCCATCAGCACTTCGATATTGAAGAATCAATTTCCGCAGGCCGAGCTCTCATGGAGCCGACTCTCGGTAGAACGAAAGTTTTAGAATCATCACACGGATCCCCCCTTGAGTTGCTACATACCAGCAGTCAACTGAACAACTTAAAGAGTCTCGTCATTGCGCCACTGCAACTTGTCAACGCCTATGTTGTAGATGAACCCATCGCTCATCATCTAGAAAAATGTGACGATGCGCGTATGTCCTCACACTTCTATCTGTCCAGCTGTGCTTCCACGGTACATACACTGACCGCGCAGTGAAAAACAAAAAGGAAAACCATCATCCGCAGGTGTAGGCAGGCCATCTTCCGAAGCGGAGAGTCAGTCCCAAGCACAAACAACAACTCACGCATTCAAGACGTTGGAACAAGGACACAGGCGGGCCAAAAAGAAAGGAAGTCAAAAAAACCCTTGCACTCGCCACCACAGATCGATATGTTCACCTGGGTCAAGTCCCTATGGGAGAAAAACAGCCCTCTTCGCAAGAACCGGTGTGCTTTCCTTCCCGTCACCCTCTCCACCCTCGCAACGATGTCCTCCGTGATCAAGGACGACCCGAAAGACTTCACCAGCTTCTCGTAGTCCACCTCCCCATCCGCCTGTTTGCGTGCAGCGTTATTTGTTTAGTTTTTCATCCAACCAAAAAATAGTTAGATTCACGGCCCCAGAGTAACTTTCGAAGCTCCGTTTGGAGCGCTCGTGGCTGTGTTTGAGCATGCGCCATGCACAGAAACTTCCACGCTGTCTTATTCTGGACGCGTCAAAAGACGAACTACTTCACCAAGCTAATCAAGTAGCCCGGCCTGCGGAACGCGAACGGCGTTTCGAGCGGGAAAAAATGGAACTGACAAGGTCGACTGTGTTGTTGTCAGCTGCAAGTGTTTCGCATGATAACAACCATCAGCCCTCACGACACCAAAACCATACGTCGTTCTCCACCACCCAGACCAGAGGCTAAAAACACGAAATCAGCACTGCAATCTCTCCGCCCACCAGTAGAGTGCCCGTGCCAAACAGACCAAGAAAACGACGGCACGGTGCCTCGCTTACCTCCACCTCCCAAGGAGTGACCTTCTGCCCCCCCTCCGCCGCCGCCTTCCCAGACTCTTCAACTCCTCCCTCCACCCCGTCGTCCGCCGACACTCGAGCCTCGGAAGCGTTGAGTAGCACCACCGTCTCCGCCGAGGGGGGTACACACTGCGGGGGTGTCGCAGTATCATCCGTAGGGGTGTCCGTCGAGGGCTCCACGTCGAACATCACCTCCAGCTCTTGCTTGTTCACGCGGAACTTTTGCTGCGGGTGGCACGTAGAGGGGAGGGAGACCGGGGGGTACTTACAATGATGGCCTTGGTCAATCAAAATCGCGTGTCGTTGATGGGTCGAGAGAATTTGGTCTATGGAGCCCGGGCGGAGCCATCGCCATACCCAGGATGTCACTACTGCTGTCATCACCCTGGAAATATAAGAACCATTTCGAAATAAATATTTGCATCCAAAAGGTCCGTACAATCTTGAACAGAGCGGTACAGCCAGGCACCTTACGACCGCAGTCCATCCGAAGGGAACCTACTAGAAATTACATGCAGGGAAAATGAAAGCGTGAATTCTGAGTGAGTCGTTTCGGCCACAAGCACCAAAGGCAGACCACAGTGCCGCGACCCTGTGCCACATCAACGGTCCACCTTCGCGAAAAGGTTACCGGTACATCTCACGCGACCCCCGCACCTTCGTGACAGAAACCTTGCCCACAGGCCCCGTCGACGGCAAGCACGGGTGCAGCTGGCTGTGCAGCACGAGGCCCTCGATGTACAGCAGGCTCAGCTCCTCGACTTGCGCGGGGGGCTCCACCACGTCATACCTTTTTTTCGGACGGGGAACGAGCAGCAGCGTGTTTAGTTGTGTGCCTTGTTCGGTCGCCAAACGCACGAACGTGTTCAGTTGGGTCGTCAAGTCTGAGTGGCAATCGAAGGGTAGGAGACGAGTGAGCGCGGCTCTCTGCTCGGGGCAAACCGGCACCTTTACAAACTAAATCCTTGGTAGAATCTCGCCAACGAACTACAGGCACGTCCGGCGTCGTTGTTATGCGTACACTCCTGTGTCGGATGCCTGTACGTGTGTGTGGCCGTGGAAGGCAACAACGACGACCAGGTCAAAACCCTGGACACCCCGACAGCTGTGAGTGATGCTCTCAACACGACCCACCAATAACAACAGCGCGTTCCGATCCGTCGCACTCAACGGCGGACTCGTCCAGCTGCCGGAGATTTTAGCGTTCCGGTCAAGGAAATCACCTGACCCCCCCAAGCCTGCCAACCGTTCTCTGCCCACCAAGGCCGGCTGAAATACAGAGGCTCGGCGGTATAACGCACGAAAGCCTCCTCTTACTGATACCGCTCCGTCTGTCACGCAATCCCGGTTCTCTTATATCTCTCGCCCCCCTCTGTCTTTTATCGGGGCCACTCACATGGCGGAACCGTAGGTGCTTTCGGCGTCTTTTCTGGGCATGGTGAGCCGGAAGCATGCTTGGTCCTTGGCGATGGCCTCGTTGACGACGTCGACCACCTTCTGCATCTGTGCGGCCGTAGGGGCCTCCGCCTTCCCCGTTTTCTGCCAACGCCATCGGTCCGCAAATACGAGTTTAGTCATAAAATATAAGAAGACAAATTAATACAGATTCGGACGTCGGCGATGGTGATTGGAGCAAGATTGAACGTCCCCCCGGACAAGTGCGTTGTTGCTTGGGTCCACTGAAAATCGTCAAGGCTACACGGCGGTGCCCCCTGGCACTGCTGCTGCCCCACTCGCTCAGGAACGATTTAGATCCCAGAGCGTTGCTTTCTTGGGATAAGGAAATTACACAACATAACTCGACGATACACCGGCAACATCATGATAAGGCAGATTTGGCGCTGAAAAGCTGTATTGCTGCAGCCTTGGGGTGGGAGCTCGAAACCGCGCAGATGGCTACCCAACAATCATGCGGTGTCACTGGCAGCACAGAGAGCTCACCATCGATAGCATCCGCATAATCCTGCCAAAAAAACTATGGCGGACAGCATCAGTGCAATACCTCTAGTCCCTAACAATGATGCTTGTGCGCATACCGTGAGGTTGCGAGTCAGCGCACAGGGGTGCGATCGATTTTCAAAGCGTCATTTCTCCACAACCAGGAGGTTGGTGCCACTGTCGAAAAGGGTGGTTTTGAAAATATCTCATCGAGATCTTTCCTGAGAAGTATCAGTTGGCGCTCGCACCCTCCTGGTTGTGGAGAAATTGCTCTTTGAAAATCGATCGCACCCCTGTGCGCTGAGTCGCAACCTTGCGGTACGCAACATATGATAAGACACCTGCACGTTGGATGGAACAGGCTCGCTCCACGAGTCACCGCACACTCATCCGCGGAGCTCAAACAGCAAACGACGAGTTACAACCGCGGAGTCAATTTTTGAAAGCACACTTTGGTCCTAAACAATCTGAGGTGCCGGCTGAAGCGCTAAATCATGCCACTGTAAGCCAGCTAATGTGACTTTTGAATGCTCTGCACCACACTGCATCCCCGTTCATGCCGCAAACAGCAGTGTACCGCGTACGACACAAGATAGCACACCCCATGGACCGATTTTCAAAGCTCGATTCCTCCACGACGAAGAGGATGCATACACGAAACGATACGTTTTCGGAGAGCTCTCGACCAGACGGCTTCAACGCCGCCAGTTTTCGGCGCTGCAACCCATTCTGCTGTTGATGAATCATACTTTCAAAATCGGCCAGGGGGTGTGTTATCTTGCGTCCAATACGGTAGTCCACGAGCACGGTCAGCCGCACAGACACGGACCATCTCTTCCAGCAGCATACAAGCTTCGGGCCTGTCCAGCAACACCGCAGGTTTTGCACCCGTTGTAGCATCACTCCTCGTCATCCCGTACACTCACCACAGTGATGCGAGCTTTGTTGCCCTCGCTGATTCGGCTGCCGATGGTGGACTTTCCTATGGGGAAGCCAATGACCGCACACAGGGCTCCCTTGACGATCTCAAGTGCCGTGGTCATGGTCGGCGTTCGAGGGTCCACAGTAGTCGCCATGACTATTCCTTCCTCTCGCTACGTCAGTAGCGCACAGCTGAGGGATGGACTTCAGTAAGTGCCAAGGCCGGAGCGTGTCAGGTTGTCAGTACCCGTAAGCCAAGCGCGCCGTTCAGCTGCTGCTGCCAAAGAGAAAGGTTCCACAACTCTGCAAGTACCCCTAAGAAACTAACGGTAGTTGCGGAGCCCCCAAGCTGGAGCTGCAGCTGGCCCTGCTGTTGTGGCGTGTCACGTGCACGTGTCACCTTCTTGTCATGGCTAGTGGCTCCAACGAGGTACAAAAGACGACACCACCATCAAGATCGTGATTGAGCTGCTGTTTCTCTCTCACGTGGCTCTGTCTAGGTTTCGCCGGGACTACAGGCGGCCCTGGGTCTGCGGCGGCGTGTCAACCGAAACAAGAGAGTGCGGAAGAACTGCCTAAAGCGCGATACCCAAGGCCCAAGGAGATAGAGAGGGTTATAGCGAGAGCGATACGAGAGCGAGATGATCATCCACTCCGGCCTGGCGAGGCACATCTCGTGAGTGACGATGCGATGAGCTAGGCTACTGCCGTGTATCTCTTTGTAGGTGCTTGCTTGCCCCCTTACAACAACCAAATACAGCAACAATCTGTGCGTACACTTGGGTGTGAACGGGAACACGCCGTGGATTGGGGATGGGGCAGTGGCACCAAGCTTGAGCGGCACCAGAGTAGAGTCGAGTGAGGCGCCGATGGGATCTTGTGTAACTCTCTTCGCTCTCTCCTCCAGTCTCCACGCTTTCCGACGTTGCGACCTTTGGATGCACTCCGATTAAAAATACAACGGCTGTCAGAGCAACACGTCGAGATGTACAACTGCTGTTGTACACAGCTCGATAGACTGCAGGTTTCCAACGTTTGTACCATGTTAGAGTTGCATGTTGCAATGATTCCGGTGTGTACCTGCAGTAGTACATAATACAGGAGTGCTTTCTCGTGTGTAACACGCCTGAGTTCGACATTATTGTAAGGTGATGCAGCCAAAAGCGAGTTGTGCACCTTGTCCTTCAAGCACTGGTCTATGTCCACTTGTGCCGACGTCTTGCCAATCACCCGCCAACCCTCGACCGCAGCGGTTGTTGAGTGCTATAACTTCGTTTGCGGTACCACCGTCTGAGCTAGTTTCCTTGTTACGTCAGGAAGGAGCGCGCGGTGTGGCCCACGTGCAAAGACAGTGAGCGAGGCCGCCTAAGCGGGAGGCACCCTGCCCTAAGAGCTCGTGCTATTGTACACATGTACTTTCCTGGTACCTGGTACACAACAACACGCGTTGACCAACCTCCCTACCCCTTTTGTTGTCCATATATTCTCTGTCCTTTCACTCGGTTGGTCCGAAATTCGTGAATTTGCCTCATTGGTACATTTTTCGGAAGGGTTCTGCTGGGCTACTTCTATCCTGCGCTGGCATCGGCGAAGACCGCCGTACAGCAAGACCCCGCCGCCTTCACGCAGTGGATGACGTACTGGTGCGACGACACTTTCCCCTTTGTGCCTCACCCCGCGGCCATAGCTGTGTGTAGTGGCATTCCTCGTCGTATTCTCGCGGGGTGGCCCATTTATTCATAACACCATGCCGGACGCACGGGTGTTTGCCAGGCTTCGTCCGCGTTGCCACTGCACAGTTTCGTTTCTTTGGTGCACACTCTTAGCTGCTGTTGGCGTTGTCGCGGTGCGCGTCCAGGGCACCTCTAGAAGGAAGTGCCCTCCCGGTTTACTCGGCTATTATGCTATCCTACGTGTCATGGAAATAGCGCCTCGTACAAAACTGATGCCCAGTATGCACGCTCGCGAGGTGCATTCACAAGCGTCCTGGACTGCTGTGTTTCAGGATCATGTGTAGGCAGTGTATGGCAGTTGTCAGGCCATGGCAGGTCCGCAACAAGCGATCCCTACCTTGTTCCTCACCCCATCGGCTGACCCTCTTGAGATCGACTCGCGTTCGTGCAGCCGTTCCTTCTCCGTCTAGTCATTGGAAACCTCACCCCGACGTTACTGGCGTCTCGCTCGCCTCTGCAGGGTGGTCATGTCCGTGTTCGCTTTGGTGGAGGTATTCGTGGACTTCTTCGTCTCATGGTAAGAAAAGAGCGGAAGGGCACAAGCGTGCGAGCGTCGCTTTTCTCTCCTCATTCCCAGGGGAAGCGCAGTCGATCTTATATCCAGTAGGCATACCTGGGTGTGCCAACTCTGCGCTATCATCGGCGGGATCCGGTTCTCAGACATTACTCCTGTCTGAAACGCCTTGGATAATCTAGCCCACCCTCTACGCTGCTGCATCATGGACCATGTGATTGATTGCCTCACCTACTCCCCTTGTTTGCGGCCTCCGGACGTCACGTGTTGGTGCGTGTTCTGCCTGTGCCGTGCCGCCCTTGGACAGGGTGCCGTTCTACTACGAGGCGAAGATCGTGCTGATCGTGTGGCTCGCTATGCCGAGATACCAGGCAAGTCTTTTGGCCGTGCGTGGCATGACGATAGTTCTTGCGTGGGTTGGTAGTTGCCCCGTTTTTTATTCCTTCAGCGCGAGTCACAGGCAGCAGCTCGTATTAGTGGTATCCCTGCGAAACAAGAGAACTACCATGAAGGATGTTTTTAGTTTCTTCCTAAAGGAGATGCCACTTTACCTATGTTTGACACCTCATTCCGCTCAGCCTTTTCCCGCCACACCCCGCGGGTCATCAAAACCGACTTGGACAGGGCGCTAGCCAGATCTACCGCAGGCTGCTGCATCCCTACCTGGACAAGTACGAAGACAACATCGACAGCGGCTTGGAGGAAATGAGGGCCGGGGCCACCCGCCGGATTCAGTCCTTAGGGGCCAGCGCCGCTACGGAGATCGCGAAGGCGGTTACAAAACAGGGATCCACGGCGGTAGGCGTCGCTGCATGCAGGCGGATGGATCGGTCTTTCGCACGTTATGGAGCGTTGGAGACGTTGGAAGGGCGGTGAATTCTTCCCCGAACCCCGGGAGTTGCATGATGCGCGATGGTGTCCTGCTAATGTCAATGGCCTTCATAGGCCGTGTGCGGCTGTTTTTCTCTCTCTTGTGTTGGGTGGTTGATCTGTCTGAGGGCACATGAAGCGCGTGCACAAACAGCGCTTGGTGTCGTGCTCGGTTGGGCTTATCGTTCCTCCTGTCCAATGGCGTTTTTTGTTCTTCGTTGGTTTGCCTCCGCCCACGCCGTGCTTGTCTTGTCCCCCCCCGCCGGCTCGTTGCTGTCATCCCGCTCCTGGTGTTACCCCTATCCGCTATTGTGTTGTCTGCGTGGATGACAGAAAGATCTCATGCTGGCGCGTGTGCTTGGCATCGCAGCTGCCGGGGGTGCGGGGGCGCTTGATGAAAGGTGAACTGCCGTTTTCTCTTGCCTGTTTGTGTTCGTTGCTGGTGCTTGTTTCCCCCCCGAATACTATCGTCACACCGCGTCCCATCATGTCATGCCATGTCGTCTACTCAAACCGGAAGGCATGAGTAGGCCACAAACCCCTCTCCTTGGTATTTCCAAAGTCAAAGCTCATCTACGGAAGACGGGCTGCATCTCAGCCTCTATGAATGGTCATGTTCGCAGCCCCCTGCCGACCGGTTGGCCTCGAGTGTCTCACGCTCAGATGGTTTGATGTCAAGTCGAGCAGTGAAGGGTTGCCTCACAAGAAGGAAAAACAGCGGGGGTGAGGGAAAGCAGCACACAGACCGCGTACGCCGCAAAAACACGGAGGTCAAGGTCACCCCGCGTAACAATGGAGCCAGTACTCGCAACCAACGTGAGGCCATCGTTGCCGGAGAGGTCATCACACGTGCAGATGCGTCTGAAAAACCCTCTGTGTTTCCCGAAGTCAGCGCCCGTAATCGATTTAGCGACGATGTCGGCATGCTATTCGTTTGTCCGGGACGTACTCCACCCCGATCTTTCTAGTCTACCCAGCCCTAGCGAAGTAGTGCCGTGGGCCGACGGAGCCAGTGTTTCCAACCGACGCACCAAGCACAGTCGGTGGTGGAGAGCTCACGACCGAGAGGTCAACGGCAAAGACTCATGACAAGCGGCCACTGCACGCCCTCCCCACCATCAAAACACGAAGCCTTTGTTTCGTCCGTGGATGTCTTTGTTGTTTGGCCAGGCCCGTGCGGTCTGCTCCTACTTCACCCATCCCTCGGCCAACGAATGATGCTGAGGAAAATTCACGAAGGCTAGAGGAAGAAGAGGAGGAAGAAGAGGAGGAGGAAGAAGAGGAGGAGGAGGAATCAATGGCCGCTGCGAACACCAGCATGCTGCTAGACTTCATGGAGGTTATGAAGGCCGGGGTGTTTGTGCAGGCACGGTCCTCCCTCGCCGGTAGGGTAAGTCGAGGGCTACCCAGGCCGGGGTTATTGGTATTGTGCTGCTGCTGCTTGAGCCTTTTATGCCGCAAGAGCGAAGGCACTGCGGCGCGACGAGTCTGTTGGGGTCGTGAAGAAGTAATGCAACGAGTAGTGCACAGCCTTCGGAATGGACACCTCGTGTGAACGTTATGGTAGAACTGGCCGATCTAGTTCTGGGGCGCTGTTGTCGTGTACGCGGTACATCGCCCTCCTGATTGCATCATTGCTCAAGGGGCTGCCAACAATTGTGTGTGCCCACGGCAACTTCATCCATGCAAGGCTTGACTGGTGAATATGCAATTACCTGCGCGTGCCGTGTACCAGACGGTGGAGTATGTATCATGTTTGTCGGAGGCTGCCAATAGAGACAAGTGTAGCCACCACCATTCTGCCGTCGTGGGGGGCCTCTGTACTTTGTGCTCTGTCTGTGCTGCCCCATGCGTGTGCGGATGAATGTAGGGCCGTACTGAAAGATGGAGAGGGCTTGGGTACACTTGGTCAGCAGTACGCACGTTTGCACGAGAGGCTGCATCTCACACTCCCCTTGCATCCCCCAACACTATAGCCCCGCTCCGTGTTTTGATTCCTGTTGGCAGAACGGCAACATGACATGGTGCGCTCAGAAAATCCGTCTAGTACACGGGACAAGCTGGTGCATGACGGAGCTCATCGACGGGCCGGAATCACAGTTGGATAGAGACGAAGGAGGCGAAGAGCAACGGTTTCAGGTGCTAGCGGCAGAAGCAGCAGAAGATGCGGCGTCAGACGCGTCGCTGCTCGTGTTGACGACAGACCGAGGACGGGTTGAGCTGTCCCCGCCCGGGCGCGACGACCGAGATAGTATGCTGATCGGGTTCGAGCTTTTCCTGGAGTCTTATGTTGGTGGTGATGACGGCGACAGCGGTGGCGGCGGCGGCGGTTTCAAGGAGGTGGCATTGCCGGATCGGGATATCGCGCGGAGAAGGACGAGGCGCTGGGAAGGAGGAACGGGGGAAGGGGAAGGGATGGTCTTGGAATCGGCGGACGATGACAGTGACGGCGACGATCGCCATCACCAACAATGAGGGCCAACAGCGACGGTGGGCATGGACGCCCACACGTTTAGTCTCTCTTGCTGCTGTGACCAATGGCTGTGGAATGGAAGCTAACGCCGCTGCTATCATTGGGCTGTAGATATCTAACATGACGCTTCTGGGGTGGGGTTCACATGCGCCCATCTCCCTGTAAGCGCTGAGTGTGCAGGTTGGGTGCTGTTCGTTATGGGTGGGGAGCATGGGCGTCGGCTCAAAGTGCCGTCTGTTCTGGCACCACGAGTGGTCGTTGTACGCAGGCAACAGGGTTGTCTCTCTTTATGTTTATTTAATCCAACGCTGTCTGGCATGAATGGTGGTGTGATGGGATGGGCCGAAAACTTCGAATGAACGTCATGTTGCGCAAGTGCGTTTCCGGCTTCATGCATTTAGGAGTGAGGTGGTCGGGTGCTGTTGTGTTTGTTTTCTGGTAATTCTCAGGTTCAGCTCCCGGACACCTACGTGAAGCTGTGTTTGCATGTTCTCTTGGTGGTTGTTGGTGGAAGATCGATTTTCTTGCATACATAGAGTCACATTGTGGTTTGGATGCTTGTCTCGCGTCTGCGTGGGGTCAAAGTGTTCTCGAAGACGCACTCTTCAAGGGAACTTCGCCGTGTTCTTGTTGAGCGAATGCCATTGCATCGGGAGCTTCTTCAATCATTGTCGTTACTGGTTTTGGACGTTATTTTTGGCAAGATGAATGTATCATGCGCATGTAGTTTGTTTGGTGTTTGTATTCTTACGCCAGGGCGTTTGCACTCAATGCAATCAAGTCTATTTTCGGAGACGAGGGAAGAGGGAAGTAAAAGGGTGAAGCCAGCAGGATAGGCCTTGTACACATTTAATGCTTCGACTCCGACCTCGAGCATGCGGCATGCCGACACAGCGGCAGTCTGTCTTCGGAATCACCTCTGGACCGCAGGTGTACAACCCTGCTTGCGGTGGTTGTTGGTGTCTTCGGGACGTCGCGCTTTCTAGATGAAGCTGGTTCGACCGCGGTAGAGCTGTAAATCACGTAGGCGCTTTCTAGATGAAGCTGGTTCGACCGCGGTAGCGCTGTAAATCACGTAGGGGTTAGAGTATGCCACCGATTACGATAGATACTAGAGCATTCTCCACCCGTCAGTCCTATGATGACACGCACCTAACCCGGCGGATGTTGATCAGGGGTGAGGCACAACCAAAGTGTCGACCCATTTGTCCCCGTTCCTACCAACACCAAATAAGTGAATTTCCACCGTCTATCGGAGCGACGATTTGTGCATGTCATCACTCTCTCCTTGGCGTCACAGGTCACATATACGCGAGATACTCTCGGGAGACAGATGGTTCTTTGTGTGTAGGAGAACCCTGCAATACAACAGTATAGTCAGAAATCGTCGAGGCCGAGGAGAGCAGGAAACTAATACCGCGGTTAGATCGGCGAAACATTCCGAATGAACCAGCCTGTTGCGTGAATTGGCTGCATCAAATATATGTACCTTGTACTGTAGTCGTCTCTGTCACAATATCCAAACAAGGTTCTCTGGAATGCTGCTGACACATCGAGGTTGCTCGCAAAAAGGGCTCTCTATAATATGAATAGCAAGGTTTGAATCATACTATATGCAGTACCTGCGGCATGTTCACGTATCGATTTTCGACATAGAAATTGCTCTGGAATATTGGTCACGTACCATATCCTTTACCACTCTTACTGTCGTTGCCGGCATGCTCACGTTTCAATATTGCATTAAGGATTTCCGCAGTAAAGTTTCACTCATTTTTCCCAGTTCTTCGCATATCTGTTTTCACTCATAGGCTTCTTCGGAATATTGCTCACCTATCAACGTCAAACTCACTCCAATTATCGAGTCCCGCATGTTCACGTTTCCACTAGGTTTTCAAAAGTTCTTTGGAATTTCGGTCACACATCGAGGTTTCACTAGAAGAAGTATTTGATGTTCGCTCACATATCGAGGTGTCACTTCCAATATTGTGACTGATTTCCAGCGTGTTCATGTTCCGATTTTCCACGTGGACACTTGTTGATATGCGCTCGTACTTCCACGTTTCACTCCTGTTACCGGGTTTCGGCATGATGCAGTCTCGATTTCAAACTTCGAGTCTTCGGCATTTTGTTCTCATACGAAGGCTCAGAAGAATTTCGTACTCGGGACGTTCACGTATCGGTTATGTACATAGAGGCTTCTTCGGCATGTTGCTCACATGTCACGGTTACATTACTATCTTATGCAAGTCAGCAAAAGTGAAACATTGTTATGTACGTAAGCAACATACCGAAGACCTTTTTAGGTCAAAATCCGACAATCGAACATGCCCGAAGTCAATATGTATATTGAAACCTTCGTGTGTGAGCAATATTCCAAAGACGTCCACGTATGCAAATGTCGATAATTGAACACGGGCGAAGGTGAAACCTGGAGTGAAATATATGTGACCACATATCAAAGAAGTCTGAAGTGAAAATAGATCTGTGGAACAAACCGGGCGTGCATGATCGTCGTACAAACTAGCCATACGAGCAACTTGCTGGAACATGTCAAGAAAAATTTGATACCTGAACCTGCTCAAGAATAAAAATTGTACTTCTAAAACTTTGGTATGTGAGCAAAATCCGTATATGACACAAGATAACACACCCCCTGGACCGATTTTCAAAGCTCGATTACTCCACGACGAAGAGGATGCATAAATCAAACAATACGTTTTCGAACAGCTCTCGACGAGACGGTTCCAACGCCGCCGTTTTCGGCGCTGTGACTTTTCCTGCTGTTGAGGAATCGAGCTTTGAAAATCGGCCAAGGGGGTGTGTTATCTTGTGTCATATACGGTATACATGTAGCGCAGACTCGACGAAAAAATCGACGAGTGAATACGCCAGAACTGGAAACTGGAATGGAACCTTGACACGCGAAAGCACATCAAGGACGGTAGGTAATGAATCGAAACGTGAACACGACGACGTGGCCATGCATGGAGCTTTCACTGATTCACGACATGCCAAGGAAGGTGAACATTGGTCCGTCATCGAGCATGGCCCAGCTATTAGTGAACGAAAAGACGTCGACACTGGCCGTGGCCTGCGGTGAGACAAGGAAAAATCCGCAGGCTCTCAGTGAATTAGAGTGAAACTATCGTTGTTGGCTGAGTGATATAGTTCTCACCTCGTTAGATCCCGACACCGTTTTCATTCACTTCGGTCGTCATTTCGGTGCTGCTGCCCTTCGATGAAGTCGCGCGTCGGCTTGAGCAGATTCGGTACGACATTGGTGGCTGTGTGCAGCTACTCGGTCGAGTTGCTGTTGGCCAACCTGCGGACGGCGCCTGCTTTCAATCACTAAGCGTTTCTTCCGAACGATGAATTTCCTTTCATCTGCCTTACACAAACAGTATTGCAGAACTCCTCTCTCCGGGGAGCATAGCCCTTCGAAATATTGAACGTGCTAAAAATATATTGCGACGGGAAGCTGCAGGTATCTACTCCGGCGTTTGCTCTAGCGGCTGTATTAGCAGCGAGGATGGCGGCAGCCTCCGTGAATCACTCCACACGATGCTCACGCCCCAGACAAGGTCAGGAGCATGTTGTGTGCAGGTTGATGTGGCTCACGATGGAGACCCGATAATCAGCATCGAGAGCAGCTCTGTTCGCCAGATTTCCTCCGGTATCGCGAAGAGTAGGTAGGTGTGTTTGGAATGGCAGTGGCGACGGCGGCTGTATCGTTGATGGATTGGGGTTCTCGCGGGAACCAACGCATTCGTCGTCACATTAACCTACGGCGTTGTCAACGAAATAGATTTTTAGAGAAATTTTGACAATATTGTGTTTGTTGGTGCTTGAAAGTAAGGGGTTGAGGGTATTGCAGTATATGCTTGCGGAACTGCTTGCGGAACTGTACCGGGGCGGAAAGGCCGGGTACGTAGGAACGACCCGGGCCGTTCCAGGAAAAATATTGGATGCTTCTGCTCGATATGTCGGAGACGCTGTAGCAATTTCAGAGCTTACGGGTTGCTTTGAGGTCGGCACCCGAATCAATGAATGTTTCTGGGGAAAGTTTGTTGACTTGATGTCAGCGAAGCGTGCTATCCGGTTGTACTCTGTTGCACAGATGCACATGTCTTTCTGGTAGTGACTCGCCGTGATGAGAAATGGTGAACGTCACTTTGGTTCCTTCGTGGAAGCGTTAGGACGATGATTGGTTTAGATCTGGTTCCCTTGATGTTTCGAGCTCTCTTGGCGTTATTGGCGTTCGTGTGTTGACGGCGAGTGAAAAAAATTGCACCGAAAAACCTCTAACTGGTCAGGAAGAGAGTATGAGCCTGTATGGTTGGGTTTGGGATTTGTCCGACGAGGCGACGATGAGATGAAGCCGGCAAAAAATAGGCTTCAATAGAGCGCAAATCCCGGGATTCAACCGCGGACGTGATGAATTTCGGGGACCTTGGGGACCTTTTGGAGTGGGTTGGCAAAGTCAATCGTCCAGATTCGAGGAGATGTTCCGAGATGTGGTGATGAAGCCTAAAAACTGTGCACACAAACATCGAGAGAGTGGCTACTTGTTGCTCAATAGCCCTTCAGTCACTCATCGCCAATTGGGTGCGTATTATAAGTGTTGCTTTGCCGCTCGTGCACTTGCCGCTCTGGGCAGACTCACGCACACCAGAGTCAACAAGGCGTAGACGCAGACCAACACCACGAAGTCGTAACCAGAGGCTCAACTTCAACTGTAAACTCAAGAAAAAAGCGACGACGATGCGTGACGAGGTGCTCTGTTTCCCGATACTAGGAAAACGTTACACACCGATCCCCGATCCGATCCGCAAAAAGGCTCAGGTTCATTTCGATCGTGAGTTGAATGCAGTGCATCTCACCACAAGCATAGGGCTCCAAGGAATATACTCACAGGCACGATCGGCATGCAAACTTTTAAATCTTTTGTATCCACGACCATTCACTTATTGTTTGCGAGATCGCCTGTTCCTATCTATCCAAGTTCTGGCCGGTCCAGGAAGGACTTGGCCAGCCTCAAAGTCTCCGTAGGATTGTCAGCATGGACCCAATGCCTGTCCAAGAACGAAAAATGAGGGATGACGTTGACGTCTTCAGCTCACAAAATTTCCCAAGAAACATCCATCTACTACGTAATGCTGGATCACAAGAGGTTTTCAATCCCCACAAATTTCAGAAACATCATCGTCTACAATTGCCAAATTTTGGTTGTCACAAGATTCTAAGGTAGTTTTCCTCGGGCGTCCTAAAACTAGAGAGATGAGGATTACCATGGCACTATATAGGAAGTTTCCGGATAATCGCTTCAACGTGAATGTGAAAGAGCCAAACAAATGAAAAAAAGGAGCGAAGATGGCCACGACCGATCGTATGGTTCAACACTCGATCGGGAGTACTGCTATCTCACAACAGTGATTTTCTAAGGCCGCGACACATCTACCAACATCTCCCTACCCAGGTACAGTCTATCGTCCACCTATGGTAGAGTCTCGTCTGTGACCATTCACTCACCCTGCGCCCTTGATGGTGCTGACGACAAACCGCGGGAAAAGCTTGCCAATCTCCTTCAGGTGCTGTGATCGGATGTACCTGGAGTTGCCGCCGGCGACGAACAGGGCCTACGAAGAAAAACGACAGAAGGCCAAGAGCTAAACACGGGAGATGGAGGTGCACATACACAAAAATAAACATGAGGTCTCAAAAGTACGAGATCGGGTGTGTGTGGGGGTGAAACGCATTCGCCTGGGTCAAACAGGAGGAAGGCCGCCCAGGAGGTCTGATTCTTTCTCCACCTGCATTCAGCAGGTTGTGAGATCTCAAGCTAACAGCATGGACAAGCTACGCGTCGTCAGGAACGCAAAGCGGTCAGCACCCCAAGCGAAATCGAAATGATAACTTTGAATGCATATAAGTGATCCCGCCGGAGTCGGCTCATGAGAGCGCAGTGCCATCAAGGGGTGATCATGCAAGATGAAAATAGAAACAGGTAGTAAACCAACCCGCAGCTGGCTGCCGGCTGCGGTGTACCGTTCCTCAAGCTCTACGGCTTTCACAGCTGACGCGTTTGTGCCTCGAACATCCCAGCGAACCTCAACAAACCAAGAAAGAAGAATCGTATATTTGGAGACAGTCGTACACCAGGGAAAGCAAAACAGCACAGAAACTTCCAGAACGAAGCAGAAGACCAGTATAACCACCATCGGCGTCACTCACGTCTCCCTTGTAAGCCCCAAGCTCATCCGCATCACCGTCACCCCTCCCACCCCCTTTGAGGCGCCCATCAATCTCTTCTTGGTGCCGCTTGCCCGAGTCGAATTGAGCCAGCACCCCCATGGAGCGCTGGATGGCGTCGATGTTGATCCTCCAAGCCCACCCCCCACTAGCTGGGTCCTTGTCAAGGTTGGTTACCGCGAAAGCTCTCAGGGCTGGATCCACGATATCCTTAGCGAGAAGCTGGGGTATTCGTCGGGATATACGCAGCGAGGCACGCAAAAGGAGACCCACGGAGAGCAAAAACACGCGAAACGTTGACCGATCGACAGCCAAAGTTCACAAAAACACAGACGTGTACACAACGATTTTCACAGGGAGTGTTACCTTCTGTGGTGGTTCTTGTGGACAGTCTGTGGGTATTGATGGCAACAGCTCCGGGCGAATCGGGATCACGAACACTCAATGAAACGGGGATGCTTGACGCGGTGGAACTAGTTCGGGCGGGCGTCGACTCCGTAAAGAGGCGAAAACTGGACGCCGCACACCGACCAGGGGAGATGTTCGAGGTGGAAAATAGTGCTCCTCTTGTGGAGTGTGTGAGTTTCGGTGAACGCCCCGTATCAGCCAGACAACGCCAGATAATAAAAAAAAAGGACCACATCATGCTCGGGAACGGCTAAAACGGCGTTCATTGTCAAATTTTGATCTAAATGCCCCGCCGATTACCGTAGAAGGTGACGACCACTCCAACCAACATGCCGAGAAACAACAACAAATAGAACCGCCGGAGCAAACCAAGACAGCCATTTATCCACTCACCCAGCAATAGAAAACACAATAGCAGCGTCCCAACAGCAGGTAGCGATAACCTCGACCAATTCAACTCAAGTAAATACTTCACCCCACCAGCGCCGGAAACCAATACCAGAAACGTGCACAACGAAGAACGAAAGTGTGAAAAAAGCAACCGCAAGCGAACAATCGACCGGTTTGCACGAAATCCTGACCGAAAAGGGCTGTTGCAACGCCGTAACATTAGAAGCTAGACAGGCACCGCCTATTCTCTGCGGGCATGCTTGCAGGTGGAAGTCACCAGACAACATGCTTCGAAGACTGGCAATGCGACCAAGCACAAAATTCAGCTGCGTACAAAAATACCTCGAATCTGTGTTTCATGATTTCACACCTCGTCGGCATCTCTCCTGCTGGTCACCCCTTCCAGCGGCATCTTGTGAATGGCCTCGATTATCTTTTGCGTTTCCCCCCAGTTTGTTGCGTCCACCCTGGCCGATCGTGGCAGCGGAGTCATCAGGGTGCGAAACCACCTCTCATACATGTTGCTATTCGCAGGAAGGCCAACGTGCAGGGTTCGGAAGCAGATGAAGGTTTCGCGTCTGTGAGCGTCATCTCGACCGCACCCGTGTGCCGGCCGTTCGCTTGCAAGCACACACGTACACCATGCAATTGCTCGCGGTCACCGCTGGTACCTTGGACACGTGTGGCGCACAAAAGAGAAACCCAATCACGTCATGTCCACTCCATTCGTATTGTTTTAGACGTACCGTCATAGTGGTTACCTACAGCTACAGATGCGGGGGTGTTCTGGCGACAAAGCTACTATCCTGGGGGTAGGAAAACCATCAACGAGACGTTCCTGGTGCTGCAGAAACAAGGCACGTTACCGTGCGGAGAGTGCGGTCTGGTGTATCGCACGTACAACTTGGAAGGGTAAAGACACTACAGTATATCCCAAACAATGTGCCTCCACAGGAACGGCAACAATATTATCCCACGGCTAAAAGTCATGCAGACGACTATTATAGGACTGTCAACTCAACAGAAAGCAAGCATTCTTCGAAAAGTGGCGCGATACCACGCTTCTGCGGGACAGAGGGCCGCGACTGAATGAGGCGCACGTAGAAAATCAGTCAACGACGAAGACGCGAGAGACAAGCGGAAACAGTTCGACTCTCCCATCTCACATCGAGTAGCTGACGGGGGCAATGTCCATGACGACCAGCCCCTTCACTACTTGAGGGTGAAGCAGCGCCGTCATGGCGGCGGCCTTTCCTCCCATGCTGTGCCCAATCAACACCGCCTCTGACAGTCCCTTGCATAACAAAAACCAATGGGAAAGATAAATGTTTTGCCGTAGTTGGACATGTATTTTGTCGTTGTTGGCCCTGGTATGCATACATGTACCGTCACAAGAAAATCACAAGGCGGAGGTATAGTAACAAGGTGGGTAGCTCGCACGGGGGTATGCGGCAGCAGCCCTGGCTGTATATCCTTGCCGAATGATGTGTCCAGAAAAATCGGTGATGCGTGAATAATGACGTGATAACCCTCCATGTAGAACACAAAAACACCCAGTGTAGAAAACCCGTCGTACAGACGAGCAACGCCACAAACCCGCAACGCGTTCACCTTGTCCGCCAAAAACCCAAGAACATCGTTCGCCATGTCGACGTACGTCATGCTATCGTGGTGAGAACTTGCTCCATGGTTGCGCATGTCAACCGCGAAGACTCTTCTCTCCTGATCCAGACTCTACGTGAGCCACGGCAGTGAGAAAAGGCGGGATAAGGGGGGGTCCGCGGTTTCGCGCGATGCAGGTGGAGGTGGAGCGAGCTGAGCGGAACGGCCGGCGTCCTGAGTACGGTTCGCGCTGTGTCGATGTAGACATGCCGATGTCGTTGAATAATGGTCTATCCATACGAAAAACATCTCAAACGGGGGTGTTTTCTTGAATTTTTTGCATTTTTTGTTTGGGTATGGGGAGAACACGTAGAGAGGCAAAACGCCGCGGTTGAGACCTTCGCCAGCACCTACAGCCCGTTCTATTGACATCCTGACGACATACACTGTACAGTACTCGCAAATAATCACGACTTCCAACTTGCGATCATTCTCTCCCAACCCTTTTCATATGTTTCGCAGCAGCCTAGGCAATGCGTAGATGGGGTTCAAAACGCTGCAAGGGTTCGACATTCAAGGGGGAAAGCGTAAAACAAGCGGGAAGCCGTGCGGATATAATGTAGCACACGTGCATGTCTTGCTTACCTTAACGAGCTTCGCTCCCCAGCCCTGAAAGTTGCGCGAGTTCCCCAGCAAGCCGTGCATGATTACAACCGGCGTGAACGAGCTGCTGCTGGCGCTGGGGTTGAAGTCGATGCTCTCCAGCTTGGCCGCGCCGGCCGGTCTCGCGACCTTCTTCTTCGTCGAGGAGGACAACACGGCAGCGCCCGCGCTCATACTGGGTCCGCCGCTACGCCTACCGCTGTGGTCGATACAACTGCCTTGAGTGGCCGTTGTCCGGCCACGGCCATTCCACGACCCTGTGGGAAAGGAGAAAATACGAAGAAGTTGCATGGCGTCCACGTGCCACGGGGGTAAATACGCACTGTTAACATCAATGCAAGGCCAAGGGAATGCGGCGAACCTCTACAACTCCTTCCGCCTTAGAAGCGCTCTGTGACATGGGCATCGTTGTCGTTGGAGGGGATAGTCTGCATCAGTGTAGGTTACGCGGAGGAACTCCCCAACAAAAGTTGTCAATACTAGACCCAGCCATGGGCAGCACTCGGTACACCCTTCACTCTGGCCCTCCTTAGTGTCCAGGGTTTTGCACAAACCTGAGGTAAACGAAGAGCTGCTGCGTACAGGGGCAATGAAGCTGAAACACATGGGGCGCGTCGAAGGAAAACCTGACAGTCCCGCCGAGCGGCACCTGGATTACCGGGGGTGGATAAATGCATACCAACACAGAGCAAAGGCGATGTTATAGCAAGCAGTGCGTTGAGGGAAGGGCTTGATGGCCCAAGCACATTGCCTCCGGTGATCTTGGCGTTGAACCTACGAAGACTGTGCTGCACAGCGCTGCTGCCGGCTGCTGCCGACATCATGACCATCGCTGAATATGCTGCGGAAAGAGGCACGTGCTGCTCTATTTTTGGAACTTTTTCGTCGCGTCATCGCAAGTGGCAACCCTCAGGCTTGTACCCAAAAGGCACCCGATGCACCCCCGAGACGTGGTGGCTTCACCTGGCAATTATTGCAGCCATCTTGAGAAATCGTACAAGCTGTCGCACCATCACGCGTCGCGCTCCGGTTGCTGTAACCAGATTACTGTGTACCTTGCTCGGGAGCGACGACGCGACGACTTGCGACTACACGGGAGGGGGCTCGCATTGGGATACCCGTTGGGGGGGTAGAGAGACCCGACGTGCTCATTGGTCAGCCGATTAGCCTAACCGTCCGCCTTTATTCCGCACGTTCACCACTTCCAGCACTGCACTTGCCCTGGCGGGTTCATCAGGGAACGCAGCTGAACAGCTGGTGGCTAGTTGAGTTGCAGCGGTTGCACTTGTGCGTCGGAACAACAACAAAGAAGCGACTCGACCTCTCCCAGATTGGATTTGGAGCTGATTTCCCCGCGTATCGTGTGCTCGGCAAACCATGTCTAATGCTCCCCCAGTGGAGCGCTCCGGCGTCTTGATCGTGTGGGACTTTGATTGGTGAGTGCGGCCGTCCCGAAAGGATGTCATCAATTCATCGGGTGTTGAGTACATTCATAAACGTGCTGAAGGGTCGGACTGCATACTGCGGTGCGCATCACCTGTTCGTATCAACGTACAGCTACAACTCTGCCCAACGCGCAAGCATCAGGTGTTGCGATGGTTTTAACCCCCTTACCATGCACAGAAAATTCGGCGTTCTTGCGAAATTTCTGCAATGTAAGAAAAAGAGCGAACGACGCCTGCTGAATGGATGGTGCAGACAGGTCCATCCCGGGGTGCATGTGCGAAGCTGCCTTCCCACTTGAGCCGTCTCTTGTTTATAGACAGCAACTGGCGGGAGCGTGGTAAACGGGGCACGAAAAGGAGGTTTTCAAGATATTTCTCTAGAGGGAAAACGAGACCTTCTTACTCAAGCCCTAGGTTGCTCGGTGCGTCCTATCAACGGTGGACTAGGTACTTCTTCCGCACTTGCCCCTAGTAGCGCTTTCCACCCAAGGGTAGACAGACGCGGTGCAACTTCGCTGTTGAACCCGCGGCGTAATCGCCCCGCGATTCGACCTGTTCATTACCCTCATACTCCTCCACTCTACAAAGCATCCATACTAGACTAGAGTCGTCCCTGTGTATCCTGGCACCCCCCTGCTCGAGTAGTGCAAAGGAGGAGACAATCATGCCATTCTTCGCGAGGTAAAGCAGGTGAAGAAGATGGGGACAAAAAGTGTCCCCAAAAGGCGATCCAGCCCTAAAGGGGTTAAAGAGAGATCAACGAGCGTTCGTCGATTGTATGAAATGGGCGATTCGCATGCACATATATTGTCTACATGGAGTACTAATGTACACGGCTGTATGGAATGCTACCCTGCTGTACGGGTAGCACTTTGAAAACTGGAGTAAAAATACAGGGGTTAGCTTGGATTGTTTGCCGACCTCACAAGCATGTTTGTACGACTGTAGGTCTTTGGTGAACGAGAACAGCGACACTTGGGTAATCAAGCAGCTGGGACAAGAACTCATGCCCGAGTTCCGCCGCCTCCGTGAGGAGGAGAATCTGGGTTGGACACAGATCATGAACCGGCAGATGCGGAGCTTATGGAAGAAGGGGGTAAGAGCCAAACCGTACCACGTTTTTAGCGGTGCGTCAGCTGAGATCGCAGGTAGTTATGTGCGTTCCCCTTCCGCACGACTCCTTCTGTGAACAAAGGGCACGTTCAAAGTAAAACCAGGGATATAGAGAACAGACTTGTACGGCCTACAAGTTCTTATCGGTTTCCCAAGTGCTGCTGCTGCGCAAACGACCCGATCGGCTTATTCCTAAGCTGGCAGGGTCATCGCCTCAAGCCACATTTCCGACCCTGTCGTGCCCCCGAGACACGGCGACAGACTGCGGTAGCGGGGCGTGCATGGCGACGTACACCGCGCCGTTCCGTGCCTCCTTGGCGTCACATTTCGAACCTTGCTACAAAATTTAGGATATTATTACCACCTGCACCCACATCAGGTGTAGCAGCTGTATTTCCCCATCTATCTGGTGCGGCATCTATTTTAGGGGCATGCGTAACCCCTTTCACAGCGATATTTCAAAGTGCTTGCGCCTGGCATGGCGATGGAAGAGGGGCCCTGGCGCTCTACGTCTCCCCACACGTACGAGCGTCTTCCCTGCCTTCGTTCTTTTGGCGGTGCTCTGCCGCAGGTAAGCGAGAGCGAGATCAAGTGGAGCATGTCCCGCTTGCCGGTGTTCCAGAGGATGCTCGACGCGGTGTGCCTCGCGGGGAGGGTAGGGGCGCAGCAGGCGGTGGTGTCAGACGCCAACACGGTGAGTGAGTGAGTGAGTGAGTGAGTGAGTGAGTGAGTTGTACCAAAACAACCCTCCCAAGAAGCAGGTCGGTTGCGTAATTTGTTTTGCCGGTGGGTGCTACTTCGGGAGAAGGCTTTTCTCGCTGGCCTGGCCCGTACGGATGTTTTTTTCGAGCTGTCGACGTTGTTGCTGTGGCTGTCGCTCATGGAAAGGACCGATATATCGATGGGTCATCAACCGATTTCTTCAGACGTTTCCTGTGCTACACGTTGCGAAGCGCGTTGAATCGTCGCAGCCCCTGCGATCTCTACCGCTGCTGCTGCTGCTGCCGATGTGTTCTTGAGTGGCTCCGGAAATATGACAGCATCCCGTCTTTGTAGACGTCAACGGGCTACTGTATCTTGTGTCCTAATCGACAACGCCGGCACGGTAGATCCTCATCCTTTTCCCGGATACACGTTTATGCCTCGTGGCGCTTCAGGTGTTTATCGAGGAGTTTCTCAAGCACCATGGGATCCGCGGTCTGATCGGAAAGGGAATCAGCACCAACAGTGGCGTTTTCACGGAGGACGGGCGGCTGGACGTGCAGCCCTACCACACCAACCAAGCGTCGCCTCACGGCTGCAGCTTGTGTCCTCCGAATATGTGCAAAGGTGGGTCAAGCTACGAGCGGTGGGCTCTACACTTCGAAGTACATGCCAAGCGATGCGCTCACGTGCTCTCCGGCTACAAATGCGCACAGTTTTTGGTCGCGGCCGCAAGCGTGGTGTGTGAGTGTCCCTCTACCGCTTGTTTCTTGTGGAGGTTGTCAGCGTGACGGCCTTCCTTCTCTCGCGTTGCAGGTTGAAAGGGTCTGCGGGTGGTGCCGTGATCTGCCAAACCCCCGAAGGGGCTTGCCTTCCCTCCTGTAAGGGCGAAGAAGTCTGATCCCAAGTCCCCCGATAGTCGGAACTAAAGAATCATGCCACACCCTCCCTGACGCCCAGGTAGTGTATATTCGACCACCTAGGGGGAGCAGTGTGTTCTACGGTCCTGAGACCTCGTTGGACCTTCGCAGTCAGAGAACCTTACGATAAGACCAGGCACGGGCGGTTATCGTACGACATACGGCGGCGTTTCTGGGAAAATGTTGGAATGTATTTTGTTGTTGCAGCGGTTCCAGCTGTTCTTCCTGTGCATGCATCCTACTGCAAACCGCGTTGGACGTGCGCAGGATTGGCATGGTCACACGCACGGCCTCGGGTTTCCTTCCAAGTCTAGACGGCGACACGTTACCCCTGTGCGAGTCACGGGTACTGCGCTGAACAGCTCTAGACGCGGCGCACTTGACTGCTGTTGACCTACCACATCACGCGGAAGCCTCGCTCCCTTGTTGCTTCGAGCTCATGTGGCTTGCCGCTGCTGTTGGTGCCGGCAGGAAGTATTGTGGAAGGCTTGCTGGCGGCTCCGGATGGAGGGGAGGACAGGGCGTTCGACAGGGTGATCTATATCGGAGACGGTGGAGGAGACTACTGCCCGGCGTTGAGGCTGAGGTAAAATTATGACTTTTTGAAGTTGGCGCGTGTACCATACTCATAGGTTTTCTGTTGGACAGGATAAGAAGTAAACCGGAAAAGTGTTCCGACACGCAAACCACTTGTTGAATTCACTTCATGAGCACCACAGGAGCCTGTGACAATACCGAGTACGCGAGTCTCATGCGGGGCGTTCTCACATGTCTGTGGCGTGTTGTTCTAGGTACATCGAGCAACAAGCTCGACGCAGAATCGCCGGTTTGCGGTGTAGGGAATAGGCCCAGAAGCGTAAAGCGATGAGGGAGGGAATCAACCCGGCATCTTTTTTTCAAGCGTTGCTGACCTGATCCATTGAATGCCGGTGCACGTATTTACATAGTAGTCATTGTAATGATGCTGACTCAATGCTCGTTCCATTTCCCCGCCCCTGTCGCGTCTACCTCGTGTTTTCCCAGACCTGGGGATTTGCTGCTGGCAAGGGATGGGGGTGAGGGGGGGCGGAAGTTCGGGCTACGAGAACGCATAGAGAAGGAGGAGGGTGGGCCGATGGCCTGTCGGGTGGTACCCTGGCAGAAAGGAGAGGATGTGTACTCGGCCTTCGAGAGCGAGCTAGTGGGGGGACGGGAAATGGCGGCCTGACCGCGAGCAGTCGGCGCGGTTGCCAGCGTTGGGTCGTCGGCAACGGCGGACAGCATTTTGCCTACAACTCGTACGTTGTGATATAACACGTGTGAACGCTTCGAAATTTGAACTGCCCACGACACCGCAGTGCAACCCTGCATAAGACTGCTACAACAAACGCAAGCGTGTGATTTAGCAGAAAAAAAACACTGCCGGACGACTTGCGGCAGCATTATCATTGCATGAACCTACTGTGCGATGGCTTGACGTTGTGTCATGCCGTACATGGCCGCGGTCGGTTCTCTGGTGCGGTCCTGAAATTCAAGCTCGATGAGCTACTACCCCGAGTTCGCGTACTACCAGGCCTCGTCAGTCCGCCTCCTCCCACCCATCTTCAGAGCTGCTACCTTGATGTAGTCTCAGGGTTGAGCATGAAAGGCTACCCACATGTCGGTTATGTAGTAGTCGGGACTAGCTGCCTGATGACCCGGTTGACGCAAACGACGCCAACCGAAATCATTAATTGGAATAGAGGGTCGGATTTCGGACATTCTTCGCTGTTGTTGGCATCCAGACCTCTCAACTTTTCAAAGCCATTGTCATTCGTGAGAGCGTTGTTCCACCTGCGCTGCTCTCAGGCGGGAACGCTCGAACACGGCATAAATACAATAATCTTCCCAAAGTGCATGTATGGATGTCGCACTTGTTGCGCACAACATCTGCCCCACCGCCGTGCTTTGAGAGGATCAGGACTGCCATAGATCGGTGTGCGTGGAGGGCGGGTGCGCGTGAGCTCGAAGGGCGGAGGCGCGTCGGCGCTCTTACGGAGTGCTTTCAGCCTCAACGAGAGGCAATTGAGGGTGTTTGAGAGATCGGGTACGTTGCGAAGTAGTCCGTGATGACAGCGGCCAAACAAAAACTCTTGAGAATGGGAATACATGGGTACATGGCATGCCCTCGTTGGTGCCTGTGCTACGGAGGATGTTTGCCACCTGAGTTATCGAAAAATAGGTTCATGTGTAGACTAAGAACATACACAGTCCCATTTTCTCGTTGTTCCCGGCTTACAATGATGGGGGAGGTGCCAGAGATTTCGTGTGTGCTTAGGGAAAACTGAAGCATGGAATTGCTACACTGGTGGATTACCTACATAGGTAGCATTGCAGCCGCCATACAGCCGACTTCCTGCAGTTGTCGCCCTCCGAAATACCACATTTGCCCATCATCTAGCTACGATTTGTTTGAGGCGATCAGACGCAATGGGATTGTTGACGCATGACCTGATCCGCTCGAACGTATACACTCCGGTCGGACGACACCAAACCAAACGGACCAAGGAACCAAGGACCAACGGTAAGCGGTGAGGTCATCGTCGCCGCGGGAGACTTGTCTGGCGAACCAGGAATGCAGTGGAAGCGAGATTTCTGTCCCTCTGCCACCCACGAGAAAACGCTCTCCCGCATGGCCGGGTCAGGTCTCTCTTGCGATGGTGCTGCCTCAGCACCGAAGGCACGGGGCAGGGTACGCGGCACCCCCATTGTTCGAGGCGATATCCAACAAAAAGTTGTATTATTGCTACACCGTCCAATCCTCCTGAATTATTCTTGGGTCTGCGAAAAGAGCCACTCAATAATAGGAACTCCCCCACCATGCTGCCCCCTTTTTTGCGCCCATCGAATAGTACTGGACGCCTCAGATGCGGTTTCGTGTCATTCCTACTGTAGCGCATCCTTCATCAAGCCAGAAGGTTTACCAAAAGGCGACCCCAATGGCAACCCCCGAAAAACGACCCCACCAGAAATGGTGTTCCACCTGTCTTGTCATATACTTCGAAGACACTTTGTGGAATATCCCCAATACCTCTCTGTCTAACCGAGTTTCCCACTTCACTTATTATGGCTCTGGGAACAAAACTACCGAGCTTGCCACCCGCCCTCCTCACAATCGATGGCGGTCAACCAACAATCAATGTGAGCCGAACAAGAAATCAGCCGCGTTTGGAGGCGGCACGTCGCGGTCAAGCCCCGTGCTTACTGCTTCGTCGGCCGCCCCTAGCGCCCCCCCCCCCAGTTGCCGAGTGCTTCACGGTGGTGGCCTTCTTGTGCACCGATGGCGCTGATACGCGCCCCATCGAGGAAGACTGCCGCTCCGCGCGGATCCTTTCGAGCTTCTGCTGGGCCTCGAGCTCTGATTTCACGTTCTGATACCTGTCGAGTGATTCCGACGGGCACAGAACAGGCTGTGCTTGTCGACTGATTTTGGGCATAGACTGTGCTTGTTCCCGTCAAAGATGCGAGTTGTATCCGGCAGAACCAGGACGTGCCCGCGGGATCCGGTGCCGATTCGTCCCGACACGCGAGAACGAGATGTTGGCCACGAATACGACCATAGATGTGGCGACACCCGTATCAGTTTTGCCGCTAGGTTTGTACCGTGTCGGTGTGATGATGAACAGAGAGTCATGGCGTTGAGCATCTATGTGTTATCGACAACCTGTCTCGACGTCGTGAAGTCCGGTTTTTCAAGGACATCTTGATACCGGCTCAAACTGTTTGACGAGTCTAGCTGCCCAAAAACTCGCCAGCGGCGATACACTGTATCTTCGACGTCAGGGTCTACTGTACCTTTGCAGTAAACGTTCGAGGTCCATCTGCCGCTGCTTTTTTTGCTCCTCTCGTCCCGCCATCACCCGCTGGAGTAGCGCTGCCATTTCCTAGCGCCCACAACAAAGAAAAAGTAATCACGTCGGACGCGGTGGTCGTGTCGGGAATAGCAAGAATACCCGAGGAGCATAGATGCCTGACGTGTTGAAAACTGGCACTCGAGGACTCGTAACAGTCAACATTATTTTCATGTAGTCCACGAAGAGCAGTATGGTGGTGAACAAAACCTTGGTGTCGAACGCGTCCAAACATGATCCTCGGACGTTAGCCAGACACCTTTCTCGTACGTGCATTGCAGCAGACCTCCTTCGGAGTTCCGCCATTCTCATGCGCTCAAGACGAAGCGGCAACTACGATCAAACAACAAGCTTGCACCCACACAAGCCACTGTGCCTCGAGTGTTCATGGAAGTCTCCATTGATAGGAACGACAACAACGTCTTCTTTCTCGGAGCACCTGCGCCTTTCCGTGCTTGAACTTGCTTTCCCGCTGGCACAAGTCGGCCTGCCTCTTGTTTCTCCATTGCTCCAGCTCCCAGGCTTCGAGGGCGTCGGATTTGAGCTTCATCTTGTGGGCCTCCGCGTAGTCTTTGGCCTTGGCCAGGTGCTCCTGCGCGTTGGGATTTTCGGGCGAGTTACACGTCTTGGAACCGTGCACGACCGTTGCCACGACATCAGGAATGCCTTATCTCCCTCGCAGAGCATCGGAGACAGAAGCGAACAAGGACGACTCAACCCTAGTCCGCCACAGTCACATGTCGACCAATATCTAGCAGCAAGAGGTGGAAGGACTCTTGTCACTTTGTCACACCTGTATACGTCGAAGGTCCAGGAGCTCACGGCTGAACTTCGGGCGAGGCTGGGCCTGCAACAGCCTCCGTTGATAGTCACGAAGCTCAGCGCCGTGTCTCTCCTGTGAACGGTCAAACGGAGGTATTTCAACCAACCTTTCCTGTTTTCTCTTGTTTTGCTCGGAGATTCACGCACATCCTTGTTCGTCAAAACATTCTATTCTAAAGCACAGTAATGTACTGCAAGAAATAAGCTGGGAGGTGAGAGGATTGGACATTGCACCCACTGCAACTGACTGGAGATTATATTATGGGGTGGCACGCGGTTTCCCCAAGCAATCAGACCTCGATTCTACAACACACCAGCGCAAACTACTTGGAGCTTCGTGCACAACACATTTGTTCTCGGGATGTTTGGGGTAGGAAGGAGGGCAGCAACGGGGTGCTCAAGGTTTGGGTGGGTTCGTATAGTGCACGTGCAGATCCTGCCGCCATGTCCTTTGTCGGTACCCCGTCCGAACGTCGCACAACCATCAACAACTCTGGTTACCTGTTACTTGAGTCCCACCGACGTGGTTTCAGAGTAGAACATCGAGGGGGTTGTTCGCAGTGTTTTCAACCACTGTCTTCTTCATTTCGAATATTTCTTCTTGTAGTCGATTTATCTTCTTCCCTACGCACCCTCATTGCGAACACCATGTCTTCGGCATGGTGCTCGTAGTCCGCCATCCTCTTGTCCCAGACCATGTTGAACTGCTGGAACTCTAGCATGTGAGCCTCCTCCACCCCGAGCCTCTCCGCGATTTGCCTCGAACGCATCGCCTCCTGAGATGATCGTTAAACATCGCGAGCAAGATTTTCCTCCCGAGTTGTCCGACAAATTCCTCAAAAAGACGCGGTGAACCGGGCACGTTGGCTTGGTGTATGAGGATGAGGAAGACGCACCAAATGAACAATAGCCAAGCCCCCAACGTTCGAGAAAAGGGGTCCAGGACGCGTTTCTGATACTCAGCCGACACCCAGCAGAGGACGTGAGTACCAGATAGCTGCGTTTCGCGTCCTAGGCAGGTGGGAGCGTGTGGCTCAAGGCAGTACGGCCTCGGCACAGACCGGCCGCGGGAATATATCGCTTTATGGGATGGTTTCTTGGGAAACCCTGCGGTCCGCCTTCGTCAGCGACGGGAAGGTGCTGGTGGGCCTCGTGACACCCTCGGCACTTCACGCGAGGTTTACGAGACCTAGGGGTTGGCCAGCCGTGGCAAAGCTCAAGACTACTCAAAGACTCCAAGTGGAAGGCGTGGTGCCACCATCCCAGTCCACGGACACTTTGTGTTCTGATACGAAAAAATATCGTAGAATCGACCAACTACGACTGTGTCGCAAGCGTGATGGTTAGATTCCTTACCTTTCTTCTGTTTTCCTCGTGAAGCTTGAGCTCGTCCAAGCGGTTCTTCGCGATCTCCGCCTCCACATACTTGCCCTGCCGCTCACAGTTGCGCCGGTGCTCCTGTTCGACGATATTAGTTTCGGGAAATAATGCACACCCAGGTGTGTGGTGTTGGCCATCATCGAAGAAAGCGTTAGAGACCCTCGCCCCTCAAGTCGACGACCTCGACTTTTCTCTTCTGGGTGCCGTTGCCAAAGAAAGGGGTGTGCCTTTTGGGAGTTGTGTGCCTTAATGAAGGTGTCAGCAACCAGTGGCAAAAGTCATGATTATGGAAACAGTTTAGAACGGAAGCACACACATATGTATTATGTAGTTCCCACGAGGTGCTCCTTGCGCGAAGCATGGGTTGCATGCAACAGAAGGCTTCTTTGACCGAATACCTTGTGCGTAGCTGTGCTTTCAAACGAAAAATGGCAAACCTATAATTCTTCTCGTCTCCCCAATGCGTTATGAGTAGAATCATACCTCATGTGCAGCTACACTGCACGCACTCCACCTTCGCTGTTGTTTTAGCTACAGCAGTGATGGTTCACAGTACTACATGTGCATGTACATGATCTTCGCCTTCGCTAACATGATCCCGCGAAATTATGTTCTTTCAGAGGCAAATATGCGACGAAGTCTTTGGCTGGTGAAGTCCCCCGGATGCTGGATGTGGTATGTACAATCCTAATAACCGGCGACGTGCACGCCGCGCCGGGTGTGGCCACTGGTAGAGCGCGAAGAGTTGAATTGATCACGTCCGAGATAATTGTTGCGAACCCATAGGAAGGCTTAATCCTCTTACCGAGGGCGGACATCGCGACCACTCCACCAGGTGATAGGAACAACTTGACCATTGAGTACTTCTCTATTGCCTTACTGCTGTCTTCGCTACCAACTGAGAACACTCTCAAAGAGTGTATTCAGCAGTCCTTTTCATTTGTTCGTTCTACTGCTACTGTGTAGACCCTGCGATCAAACTCAGGGTGCGTCTTTGAGGAGATGCATGTACTTCCGGTGAAACCGTCGCCCAAATGCTCATATTCGGCTCCTATTCCATCGCCATGCTCCTCCTTACTCGGTAGCTTCATCAATGCTCTCACAATCCAACTAAGTGTCCCTTGCTTCGCTTCAATTGTGCCGACCACAATCAACACATCTGTTTGAAGCATGAAAGGTTTTCATCCGCTCCCCTTTCTTTGTACTGTACCTCAAGTATCTCTAGGAAGTCCTTCACCGCAGAGTCCTCCGTCACTTCCATCAGCCTCTCCTTCTCTCCCCGAAGCCCCGCACCCTCACGACCTTATCTCACGACCTTATCGGCCTGCCGAGCCGACTGAACTGCGGCGGCGACAACGCGGTGGAAAGAGATACACTTTTTCCCGCCGCTTGTGATGTGGGCTGCTGCTGCACGAGCGGGTAGGTCGCTATTGTATAGCTGATATCGAGATGAACTGTTCCAGATACAGAGATTCTGAAAAGCGGACCGAGCGAAAGCCGGCTGCGTTGGTGTACGGGCGGAGGGGGGACGGGAGCAGCGAGCGAGGGGAGGGGGGATAGGGGGAGGGGCGAAGAACATCATCATTGCTTCCTCACGTCAAAAAGTGAAACGCTCGGACCAAAATAGAGGCGCGGCGTAATTCGTCGAAATGTGCGGCGTAACTCCCGCCGGCCGCAAAGACTTCAACACATCCCTTTACACAAGAAAAGTGTATCCATTGCCAGTGGGAGGGCAGATCGCAGATAGATCGCGCTGTAGAGTGGGATACACATGTGTTTTTTGTTGTGGTGGCGGACGATTTCAGAGCACCTACCCAGCTTCTAATTGTGTCCACGTGTCTTTACCTCCCAAGAAATGTTGCATGACCGCCATGCACCCCACCTGCAAAATTGTCGGGCGAGGGCTGCATCTTCGTGTTTTTTTTCACGACAAGCTTTGTCTCTCAGCTTTCTTCAGAGCTGCTGGGAGGAGACTGTGGTTGCTTGAGCATGTACTCTTTGTGTGGTTATTGCGTTGAATATTTGACCCACCGCATACAGCAGTAGCACAAGAGACTTTTCTTGCGACCATCCGCTAATCGGGCAAAAGCAAAAGAGAGCGGTCCTTCGACCTCTTTGTGAATAGCTCGCTTCTTCTTGCGTTTGTCGAAGAGCAAAAAATCGCCCCAACAGTATGTCGTAGTAGGCGACGTGGACGGGGACGGGCTATTCCCCTCCGCGAAAAGAGACACGAAACAACGGTGGTTGCCACTCGCGTAGATCGCCTCGGAGATACATTCAAGTATGAAGACCGCAACGTTAACGTAGTTCTACATGACTCCTCCACACCAACACAAACTCTGTACAATAGTTGCTGTCAACATCACGTTCGATCATGATCGCATACCCTCCGCATCCCAGATCCACACAACAACAAAGCAGTCTACAGCAGTATATGCATGCACACGAGGTTTCTATCAAGATGTACATGTGCAGTTTGAGGTGCATGCACATGAGATTTCTACCAAGATTTACAAACTTGAAGTAGTAGTAGTTTGAGAACTTCACCGCGAGTGGGTGCAACAGCACTGACTACACCGATGTCGCAGACGCCGCAGCAAGTGAATTGACGAAAAGGACGCACATCATATTATGTCCCCGAAACAGTGGCAGAATCACCACACCCCACGACCGATGGATGCGCAGAGGGAGTGAATTAATCTTGGTGGTCCAACCTTCAGGTCCCGTGGCATTGAGAGAAAAGGCTCAATATTGTCCAAACCCTGCCGTAAGGTGCCCACCTTTTTCAATAACCAATCAATGACAACGGATTCCGGCAAAGCCTGTCGGTGCTGTTCAATACCGCACATGCCTGCACCCCACGCGGTCATAGTGGTCGAAACAACGTGCTCATCACGCTGGCCACCCATCGATAACGGTCACAAACGACGAAAAAAACTCATCAACATCGACACGTTCATCAACACCGAAAAAAGGTCATCAACATCGAAACGGTCGCCAACATCGAAAACCGTCATCAACATCGAAACGGTCTTCAACCACGACGGATACGACTCAACACCAACGAAAAAACCGTCAACATATCTGCAACACCACAACACCTTTCTTTAACAAAGGGGGACGTTACGCGACCATCCTTTCTTTTCATCGGGAACGCTTCAGGAACACAAGCGCCAGCGCAAGCCCGCCCCCGCCCACCGCTGCCAGAATTCCGAGATCGGTCAGGGTGCGGCCGCTGCTGAATCCGAAGCAGCGGAGAATCTGATCCCCCGTCATGGGGTCAGTGTACACGATTGGCGCCGATCCGATCTTGGTCGACAGCCGGAACACAGCACCGTATGGGCTTTTCCCGAAAAGCAACAAGAAACAAATACAAGAAGGGGCACAGAAAAGGGAACGTGGACAGAGGCGGCGGAAGGCAGAAACGGCGGAGAGGGTTCCGAGAGTGAGAAGTGAGCAGTTTTTTCGGGCCAGTCGGTTGTTGTGCTGCCGTGGGGTATTTTCTCTAGTTCACCGGTAGCACGAACAACAAACGACCGGGCTAGAATGAAGTCTCGCGTGCTCTGGTCACTGCGTTTGCTCTTGAGTCACTTCGTGCTTGGGTGGTGCATCATCAACTCGCAGTGTCGCGGCGTCTAGAGAATATCGTCGAAAGAGTCATCGGCTTCAGCGTGTGGTGTTGTCGTCGAAGTGCCCACCTTTTCTTTACTGGTGCATAAGCCTTGCATCCTTACTGCTCCCCCTTTTCGTTTTCTCGTCCCGCATTGCTCGTGATTCTCTTGTGTTGTCAAAAACAACAGAAAAAACACAGCACCCTTTGTTTTCCGCTCTTCCCGTAACGAAAAAGCCGAGCAATCTCCTCACCAAGCCCTCCTCTTCATACACAACTTGGCCCTGCCCATCTACTCTCCCCACTTCTCTCACCTAAACTCGTTCGCGACGAGCGACTCGAACCCTCTCCCGATGGGCGACAGCCACGCCAGCGCCCCCCACGCCGCGGGCAGGTCGTCCTTCGACACAAGGAACCCCGACAGCAGCGCCGAGAACAGCACCACCAGGCACCCCGTCGCCAACGCCTCCTGGGACGACTTCGCGCCAGCGCCGCAGGCAGCCAAGACCCCGGCCAGGGACAGGTTGAAGGCCACGAGGCCGCCCGCTAGGCCGAAAAGACCGCCTGGGCGCAAGCCGGCGAGGGGGCTGACGGTAAGGGCCAGGAGGATGGGGGGTAGGACGCGGCAGGCGAGGGCGTCAACGGCGGCGGCGGCGGTCAGGTGGGCGGCCGCGCCGTAGGCGCCCGAGGCCCGCTCGTGCACAAAGAGGACCATCTGCTTCCGCCAGGCCGCGAGGGACGTAAGGCACAGCAGGGAGAGGAAGAGGAGCAGGAGGAACACCACGCCCAGCCGATCCTGGTTGATTTGCAGCACACGAGTGGGGGGGGGGGGGGGGTGATTGGGGGGGAATTGGGGAGGATGGGGAAAATTGGTGGGGGGGGGGGGGGGG